TACAAAATAATAATAATATTCTAAGATAATTAATAAATAATAAAATAATAAACTAATAATAAATTCGTTCTATAACAGTGGTTTTATTATATAATAAAGTTGATTTCTCATGAAATCATTAACCAGTTGATGCAGAATCATGTGTTCTTGATAATGAAACTTTGCCGCTACCTACAATTAAATAAGCAGAGTGGCCACGAAAAACTCAGTTGTGTAGTCGTGGAGAAACGGCATCAGAAAATCAGGTTACTGTAATAAAAAGGGCATAAATTGAAAATAGTATGTGTATTTTATTTAATATTAAATATATAGTTTCTATAACATGTAATTAGGCTTGTGTAGTAATATTCAAAATTGCGCTAATAATCAATTTATTTATTTTTTATGACGCTATTATGTTTAAACCGGCTTTTTTAGCTAACAATGTATTTGGGCCCTTATTTGTAATAATTTTTAAAAACCGGGCCTTTATTTGTAATTATTTTCATTTTGGGTCCTTATTTGTAATTATTTTCAGTTTTTGGGCCCTTATTTGTAATTTCCCCTAAATTTTACGTAACTGATAATTTAGGATCGATTTTCCGTTCACGTGATTTCCAAAGTCAATTAGCCAATTAAAAATCAGGATCTTGGAAATCACGTGAAAGGAAAATCAATCGATATTACGCCTTGTCAAAATTCCCTCGCTATAGTCTTTGTCGATCGATGATTATCAATTCATCAGCCCATTAAAAAATCCGAAGCAACAAAAAGCAAAAATTATAATTTCAGAAAATAAATATACAAGCTTAGATCAGAACACTTAATAATTTATATAGATTCGAAATTCGCAATTCAGAATTCATTAAAGAGTAAAGAGTAAATAGATCGAATAATCGAATTAATAGAGTATATAGTATATAAAACCGTGAAGCAGATCTCTCAAAAAAAAAAGATTGATAAAAGGCATTAGATTATTGATTTAAAATTCAGGGTATTTATTAAAATAGTAACTTGTACTGAATTAAAAATTGTGCTACTTTTTGTTTTCTAATAATCTCCAGTTCTCGTGGTACTAGGGAAAAAATACTAGCTAGTTGTTTTCTAATCTTTTCGAATTTTTCCATGGCTCTGTAACAGTCTCAGATAATTCTTTTAAAAAATAATTCAGAACTTCTTTGTTTCTTAACAACATGAATTCAGATAGTACAAACGATCATCATTAATCAATCACCATCTCTAGATACACCTAAAAATTTGTTTGCGATCCTCCAGCAAAAGATACAATATAGTTGTTTTATTTTAAGGTCTGGAATTAAGTTGATTCTGATTCGAAATCCACTTAAGTGGACTCCGAATCCGCAGAACTCCAAATCCATCTACAGTATGTATAAGCAACTAACTGATACATTTCTATTAATAAAACTCACTTCAAAAGACATCAATATTATAGTTATGGTAGATTTGCGCAATGTATCATATGACTTAATGTGATTCTGTCAAAAAAATACATATTTTTTCAAGGGCCTTTGCCTACTATCAACACTCAATTATTTCGTGAAAACATATCTTGGTTGTGTAAGTAATGACTTAAGAAAAAGCTAAGATCTAACATTGCCAATGTGTTGTTCTCAAGCCTACTTGAAAAAACTAGACTTTTGAAATTAAGTTGTGCTGTTGTCTTCAGGTCTCTATATGTATTAATTATTAGAAGTATTCTCCGATAATTGTCTTATCCAACCCATCTCTATAAAAAAATCGTATATCCTTGCTGTCTTATTAACATCAATTCTTATAAGACCTCGAGCTTGTCTTCTTCGTAAGGTTCCACCCGATCTCGCCCATTCTTTAAGAATTGTTTCTTTGATCACCAAATAGGATTTTGGAAATATCCGTAAAGTCTCACATAGTTTTCGTTCAGCCTCTGATAGTAGATGTACTCCTTCTTCATCGTTAAGATCTAATGCTTGTGGTTGCTTTCGCATGTTTAGTCTGATAACTGGCGGTGCCGCTGCTGGAAGTGTTTTATTACCATAAGGAGATGATGATGGCGAATGCTGCTTTAAAAATAATGTTTATTATAAAATTTTACGTATAGTCAAATACTGTTAGCACAGCTTGTAAATTATAGATTGAATTATATGTCATTAAAATATAACACACCTCATTTATCTTGGAAAAATATTTTACTTGTAGACGATCACTATATGTTATCGGAATCGTATGACCATTATGTGGTCGAGCAGCTAGTTCTCGATTTGCTTCCTAAACAATAATTAACAATAATTTGTAGCATGTATATTGATTTCTATGTAAAGAAAACCAGTGCTTACCTTTTGTGCCTTTGCCTTTTCATATTTATTTGCCTCATTTAGTGTCATTATTCCCATTTGGCGATATTCTTTTAATTTTCTTATTTCGAGTCGAGTACATAGTTCCTCTAAATAATAAGTATTAATTTTTCCTTTTTTGGTTTTGATTTTTTTTTTTGATATCTAAGTGATTAATTATAAATATATTTTACCAATTAGTTCATCTCTTAGATCATCGAAGTCTTTTTTACACAAAGATTGCGCGAAAGGTTTGATTCTATTTATCAGTTCCTTCTCTTCTTTACTTTTATATTTTTCTTCTTCGATCGCTTTCTGTATTAAAAAATAAAAAAAAAACAAAATAATAAGATAATAGCCACAATTTGCAGTGTTCATTAATGTTCCAATACAGTGATTCTATTCTTACATTCTTCCTGAAATCTAGCAATCCGTGTTCAAAGATTAGCCTTTTTCGTTCGGCACGTTTATTCAGTTTTTTGTTGTATATTTCCAAAACGTATGTTTTCATCTCTATTATAAGTTTACAGTTTATTATTGGTAGATATCTTACAATCCAAGGAATAAAAATAAAAAATAGCACACCGATATCTTGTGGATCATCGTTCTCATTCAGTTCCAGATCCTTAATTACAAGTTCTGCATCATTATCATATTCTGTTTCAAATTCGTATCGATTTGGCATATATCCGGCAATCTCATGGTTTGCTGGCAAACTTTGTAGAACCTACAAATATTCAAGAATATTTAAAGTATGTTAGTATAAGATGCAAATAATCTATCCTTACACTTTATAATCATAAAGTAAATACCTTCGTAGGAGTTTTCTGCGTTGAGTCTATGAAAATGTTAATATCTAATGAATTTTATTGTATTGAAAGAAAGTACAATTAGGAAAGTCAGATATGATTACTTTGGGTTCGATTTTCTATTGTCTGCACACGTCTCCGTTTTCGTTCACGCATTGTCTCCTCATCTATTTGAAATTTTACATTCATGTCCTAAATCGAAATAAATTGAATATATTTTACCGTTTGCTGTCTTTTGATGTCTCATTTTTCTTCTATTAACGTCATTCAGAATAGCGCAAAATATTCATTATTTACCGGCAACGGCCATGTTTCACTATTAACATACGTTTCCATATAATGTCTCTCGCAATCTTCTTTCGTTCGATTCCCTATAAATTCTGCGATATCTACCCAATTACCCAAACCATGCATTTCTGCGCCCTCAATCAATAATTCTTCCTCATCCGCTCCCCATTCCTCGTTAAATAGTGGGAACGAATATTGTTCCTAATACATTAATTAAACATCAATTAAGAATCAATTCTTTTAATCAGCAAATTATATGCAAAATTTTCATCCGTTTTTTGAACTAAAAATAACTTATAAATATAAATGACACACCAAAACACGATAATCGTGCCAGCTCTTATGTTTTTCCAATTCTTCTCCAGAAGTAAAACAGGTAACACAGAGATTAAAATCTTGACATACGGCACAATTAATACGGACCGTATTACCAATATTTGCATGACATGCGTTGCAGCGAAACATGCCGGATTTTTTTTGTTTCGTTTAAATTTAAAGTTTAAATGTAAAGATCGTGATAGAAGTGTAGAGATCTAGAAGAAATCTATGCTGTTTTTGGAAGAACTGGTTTAATAGTATTCTTAACGACGCATTGACGTTCAACGACGATCTCACCTTCGTTTACATATATCTTTGTTGTATCATCACAAGACGATCATAATTTACTAAATCATAAATTTTACCATAATTGGGTGCCAGTTCATGGGAAAACTTCCCTCTGATTGGCTGATGCAAATCAATTCAGATTGGGCGTTATTTATGCAGCTTAGTTAGCGTTAGAGTCAACCTATTAAATAGCGGCCATTTACTGTGCCATGCCATTGTCTAAGGCGATTTTTTACGAGTATTTTAACATTACTGTATTACAAAAATTATAGTTCTTTCGTTATAGCTTTAAAACCAGTTTTATGTTTAAAAATATATAAAACAATACAATGTGATAAATCTATAGTAAAACCTTTCTAGTGCACCTTTAAATTTTTTTTTTTGAATTTCTTAACTCTTCTAAATTATTCAGCATTTCGGAAGTATCAAATTGAATTTTGGAATTTGCTTTCAGAAAAAGATTCAGACGAAAGATATTCAAGATCATTTGAGATTAAGGTACATCTCCACCGAATAAGACGTCTACGTAACCAGTGTTGTACATTTTTTGATGTCCAAGGCCCTTTTTGCAATGTCCAACGTCCAAGTCCAAAAACATTTACACCTAAATAAATTAAAATAAAAATTTTAAAGACAAAAAACTATACATAAAATTAGGTGCTAAAATATTTTTTTTCAAAAAATTAAATTATATTTATTTTTGTGTAACATATCCAAGGTTTTGTTCAAGCATGTCCGATGACAACTGTACGTAGCTACAACAAGACTTTCTAATTAATTTCTTATAAAAAACCCAAAAAAATACACAAAATACTTACCATTGAAATATTTACGCATTTAGTTCACCCCGCAAATAATCAAAAACATTAATGCCTTCATCTACTTTCTAACTCATCATCTTCTACACGAGTATATAACACTATTCTCATCATTTTTACTTTTTATACAGTATAATAGGAGTATACGATTCTTTAAAAAATGCATTTACTGTAAGTGCTAGAATATCCAGGTCTTTCATTTTAACGGGTTTATTGGTATATTATTACAAAGACGTACAACTATTGGTTGCCTATTTAAGTAGATCACTTTTTTTTTTGTAAGAAATGTTTTGTGCACCTTCTCTAATTGCACACTCAAATTCTGGCCCAAAAATATACTACAGTAAATGTTTTCTAAATACTTGTTGTTAAAGTCTGGTTCTGAAAGTTTGCATTTAGAAAGATTTCATATACCAGTATACTGTATAGGGATATTAAAGTAAATATACTATTTATATTTTATTTTTTGATCAAAACAGGCTTCATGTTCAAAACAAAAAACAACTACTGTTATGCCTCTCAAAAACTGATATACATGGTGGAGGTTATCAGATTTGAAAATAATATTAGTATAACGGAAACGAACTTGGTAGTAGGGAGCGGTGCGGTATATACTCTGCTAGAGTAACCATCAAAACCAAACCACACTAGAGCTACTACTCCAGACTCGGAGTATGTTATTCCGGATTAAATTTTATAGTATATTTTATATCTAGAACAACTTTATTTGTTATAATGTTGATTGTCTTAATAAAATTCTTTTATATTTTATACTGGAGTAGCTCTGGAGTATAAACCACTTTATTTGACTCCTAGCATACAAACCACATAGGCATGGAGTGGTTTATACTCCTAAATTACTCTAGAGCATAAATATTCCATTAACAGCTCTATCTGAGGCCATTCGGATTCTATCAAATCCGAATTGAATCCGCATTAGATTATATATAAAACTAGCTTTTAAGCATATCCTTAGGTCCGTTATTTAAGTTTCGAGTAAAATCACTGATCTGGATATCTGAATTTATCCTGATTGAAGGGTTTAGGTTCGAAGCTCTACTACTTGGTGGACTAATTTTTTATCGGATTTAACAAGTTTCGATTTTGACAGGTTCAATCGTATTGTTATAAAAAAGTAATAGGCACTTTGACTTAAAAAATTTTAGAAAAAGTATTATTATCATTGCTACCAAAATCTACTCCTACTCTTTTATTATCAAAATTAACCCTAAATTTTAATCTATTAAAGAAAGCTAAAAAAAAATGCACCCCTAAAAATCTTGAAAATTTCATATTAAAATATTTAAAATTCCAATTTCAGTGACATCAATTTTAACAAAGATTTGACTAATATATTATCATATATTCTCACTTTTTTCAAGCTAATACTGTAATATAACACCAAGGTTTAATACAAAACATTGATTTATAGAATAAATAGTTATTAGAAATCTGAGGTTGATTATAGTCTTGAACATTTAATAAAAAAATTGCTGTTCCAAATTCTGTCGATAACACCGTACGATGGTTTATGTTTTATAGCGTTAATTAAAATCTTAATAATTAAAATATTACATAACTTCTCATTGACCTAAGTTCACTATTTTAGTATATCGCTTACGCACTATCTCTAATGACATAAAGAACATTTGATGCATGACTCAATATATGGTCAAATGCCCGAATTAGTAGCTTTAGCCAATTCTTTCATTATTGCCAGAATCACTATTAGTATCCACCAGCACCCGGAGCATTCACATCCTTTTTCAAACTAAGAAGTAACTCTTTGAAACGACCAACATCTTTAACATGTTTAGTGGACGTTTTACTCTGAACATTTGAAATATCAACTTGTTTGCAAATGCGTTCCCAAGTCGTACCAGAAGTGAGGTCATCTCGCTCACGTAAAAAAACTTCCTCTTCTTGTCTTTATAATTTAAATGTTAGATATAAGAGACACGATTCAAATTATTGCTAATAAGGATTACTACAAATTAAAAAATATTACTTATTAATTGCATGTGCCCGTGCCTTCTTTTCGTTATATTCTTCATAAAACTTGTCAATTGCATCTCGTGCAGTAGCGATCGTTTCACGTCTTTTCGCCTCAGACTCTTCATCACGCTTTGCAATAATCTCTCTTTGTCGTTCCTTCCATTGCCTGTGATTCAATTAGAACATGGACTATTCAGAACGTAATAATTATAGACGTGAATTTGATCATAATAACCTCATGTCTTTGGTTCTTAGCTACCGAATAATTTCAGGCTCTTCTTCATAAGACTGATAGCCCTCCGACGAAACCAATCCATTGGTACCAGTATATAAAGTCTTTAAATATAAGAAATTATTAATTAATTTAAAAGAAAACAATCTTGAACTAATTTTAAAATTAGTTCACAATACTTTTAATGGAATTAATTCACAATTTTTAAATACACACCTGCGTATTGTTAATTTCTACTTGTGGAAACTCGGAATGAAAAGCAGAATAATCGGGTAAGGCGCTGGAAGCAGATCCGACACTAGATACAGCACTAACGGGTTGATTGAAAATGGTACTGTTTGCTGATGTTGAAGAGATATCCGGGAATGCATCAAGCTCGTTTGAAGTGGGAACCGAATTGCTGCTGTTTGCATTGAAGAATGCTGCATCATCTCCAAGAACCGCTTGTTCTCTTGCCAAAAAATTTGCAGTGGGATCAGAGTCGAGAAGCGTATTTGAGGACAAGTCTTCAATTGGTGGAAAATCAGTGTTATAATCTGTCATGGCGAAAATTTACCTATAACTAAACGCGAAAGATATGGCCTAAATTCAGAAGGGTCTCTATTGTAGTGATAGAAAAACAACTAAAATTTGATTTTCGTCAGCAAATTGAATTTTAAACCAAAAATCTTACTAGCTATATTCTCAAAAGAAGATTAAAAAAGAATCTACAATTACTGAATTAATCGTAGATCGCTAAAACTTGCAATAAAATTTTTATGTATGTAGCTGACCAATGATTTGCTCACACAGATCAATTCCTGCTGAATGCAGGTGACGTATTGAACCCGATTTTTATAAATACTAAACCGACTTGTACTAGAAATTAAAAAGAGCAGAAACAATTCAAAATGGTTCTCGAAGCGACTATGATAGTGTAAGTGCTCTTTAACCTGGTTTGCACTGATTTTACTGGTATGCTTATTATATTTAATACAGATTGGACAATTCTGAATGGATGCGTAATGGCGATTACACGCCTACTCGTTTAGAGGCACAAAAAGATGCCGTTAATCTCATATTCAGCTCGAAAACGCAACCAAATCCAGAAAACACTGTTGGAATGCTAACTATGGCAGGTAAAAGGTAAGGATACCAGTTAAAAGTTTTTTGTTACGGCAAATTATTGAATCTACTTGTATTTCTCTTTAGCCCCGAAGTACTTGTTACCCTAACTTCAGACCACGGCAAAATATTGACCGCATTGCATAAGACACAAATCGGAGGTAAAATTAATTTTACAACTGGTATTCAAATTGCTCAGGTACCTTTATTAGATATTATTTGGGTAATGTTTGTGAATTTTTTAAAATTCAATATTAATTTCATTTAAAATGCAGCTTGCACTTAAGCATAGACAAAATAAGAATCAACGACAGCGAATTATAGTATTTGTGGGCAGTCCGATCGAAGATGACAAAAATGCTCTGATAAAATTAGCTAAAAGGACAAAAAAGAATAATATTGCTGTGGATGTCATCAATTTTGGGGAGGAAGCCGAAAATACTACTAAATTAGATGCCTTTGTGAATACAGTTAAAAGTGGTGATAACAGGCACGTATTAATTATGCGTATGCTCATTATAACATATGACTAATATATGCTTGTATTTTAGTCATCTTGTCACGGTTCCTCCTGGTCCGCACATTCTTAGCGACATTTTGATATCGTCTCCAATAATAGCAGGTGAAGACGGAGGAGTTCCTCCTGGGTTTACAGTCGGTAGCGGAGGTAGTTATGAATTTGGCGTCGATCCAAACCTTGATCCCGAGTTGGCGATGGTATACCCATATTTTCATGAATTGATTTATCGATAATAATTACAGAATTGTTTAATTCATCATAATCTATGTACTATTATTTTTATAGGCATTGCGCATTTCACTCGAAGAAGAAAAGCAACGACAAGAGGAAGAAAAGGTACGACAAGAAGCTGAAGCAGCAAAAACCACCGCTGCGGCGGTTGCCAATCAAGAGGCAGAACCAACTACAATGGCTGTCGATCAACCAATCGCGGGTGGTGATTCAGCAGATCGAAATCAAGATTCTTTGGTACAACCATTGGCTTCAGAAAACGTATGTATAAATTTTGTTTAGATATATAATTAGCGAAATTAATATTATCTTACTTATAATAGGATGGGGATGTGCAAATGGAAGAACTAACTGAAGAAGAGCAAATGGCTCGTGCCATTGAATTGTCAATGCAAAGCGGCGATGGAGTACAATATTTTTGTCTTATTTTTTTTTTTAACTGATTATCGTGGAAAGGCTCATTAATAGCTAAATGTTATTATTTTTAGATTGTTGTGTCGGATGAAGTTATGAGTTCGGTCCTGCAATCACTACCGGGTGTAGATACCCACGATCCAAGAATTCAGAATGTTCTTCAGCAAGGATTCTCAGGAAATAACAATAGTCGAAAAGAGAATGATAAAAAAGATGGAGAAAATGAAAAAAAATAAAGGGCATAACATTGTTAACCGAAATCTTAGCCAACAATGAAAAAAAATCGGCTAAAGCTAATTTTCGGTGTAGCCGGTCGATTTTTTCAAAATTCGCTGATCGATTTCTTATAACGATAATGATTCATGAGCTTTTGATCATTACAAAAAGTTATAATAAAACCGTTGACGAACGTTAAAGAAATTTTGTTTCATGACGTTGCTTCTGACAAATTTAATCTATTCGTCATACCTCTTTATAATCGCCCCCTATATAATCACATCATATAAAAACCTTTTTATAATCACACCTATATTTGAGCCCAATTACTATTTAATATATAACAAAAGACCTCTATAAAAGCATACCTCTTTACAAGAACATTTTTTTAAAAAAGTTCCTATGGTCCCAAAAGTGTGATTATAAAGAGGTATGACTGTATATGTTATATTGCTTTCATATAGGGAACCCCACTGGACGTCTAGATTCTCCAGTGCTCCAGTGGTTCCAGTGAGAATCTCATTGGAACGTATTCATCTGATTGGCTAATCTAAATGTGACTATTGACCAATCATATTAGTTGGCAACTAATTTTATTCCGAGCTTCCGAAGCTATTCAATGCAATATATTAGTTTACTTTCCAATTCAAACTCATACAGGAAGATCCCAAAATTCCTGGTCGGAATGCATCGGAATCCTGGTCGGCAGGGCCGGAAATGATCGATTTTGCCCAAAATCACTAAGAATTTTACTAATGAAATCGTGGCTATTTATTAAGTGAAAAGTGCCCTGCTGATAATTTTGCTATAGAACCTACTAACCACTAGAGCTAAGTGCCGCTTACATCCGATTGAAATGACCCTGTTTGTAATATCCGTGTAACCTTGTAGGTATCCGGAGCTTAAATTTGTGCCGGAAATCACTAGTGATAAAAATCTTTACTAGAACAGTTCAGTGACATTCGCTCACTGGAAGCTATTATACTTCCAATTCTATTCTAGTAATCTTAGTAATCTTTTAGTTATTTCTACTAAAACATTCTATATAATAGACAAGAGTTTAATTTTTTAGTGTACCAGTACTGCAATGCACCCTTACTATATTGTAAAATTTTACTAGGGTAACCTTGTTGTATAACTAATGAAAATGATCCTCTCTCTAACTCTAACTCTAATTCTAATTATTATTAGAATGCATTATTGTAGGAGATATACTAAATTAAAAATTTCAATAAACAATATATATGTATATATATATATATATATTGGTATTAAGGTAACCTACATTGGCCTAAAAAACTTTTTATTAGAGTATAGACAAAGTTTTATATATAATTACAATGATAGTATATCAAGCCACATGTGCACCTTTTGAGTGTCTAATTTAAGTAGTCCACCCGAAGATTCTATACTATCTGCCATACCTGCACCCCAACTAGAGGGGTATCCATTTAAACTATTTGATTTTAACTACCTCCATCCACCTCCTAACCAGATGGGTTTACCTCACCATTTATACACTGGATTTTGGATATCACCCAATCTAGATTTCGCTCTCTGCCTTAGGACTTACTAATACATATAGACCTAGTCTATCCTCGAGATAAATCTAACATAGCAGTACATATTCTACACATGTATTCACATACTTGTTCCTATAACTTTTTCCTAATTAGTACATATTAACCTGCCGTTCCATATTCATATTTCATACCACCTTTTGGGGTGCTGCCGTTTTACAGATATTTTTTAAACACCAACCTTCCTAACTAGATACCTATTACGTACTCTTTATTCCCTAGCAACCCCAGTACCCTGCATTTAGACCATCTTCTTACCTGAATTCTTTATCGGTCTCTCCTTTACTTCCAGCCAGCAACTTGGAAGAGTCAGTTTGCTTAGGCTTTAGGTGCCTGAAGGATATCCTCCCCTTAGTTCATACTTTCAGAGTGTATGTTCTTTTTCTCCGATACAACAACCCGGTAGTTTAGCTGGTATTGTAATAGAATTTTCTTTTTCTTTTTCTTTCTTTTTTAGTTACTAGTTTCTTATTATTCTTTATTATTATTATTTTAAGTATTTGATATTTTTTCTAAGTTTTTCTTATATTTTATTATAGTTATTTTTAGTTAGTCATAGAACAACATATTCAAGAAGGCTTCTAAACGTCAAAATGCTATAAATAGCCTTGTAAATCATTACATGAGCTACATGATGATATGTGTTTTATTTTTAGTTAATATGTAAGTTATTGAGTAATGCAGCACCAAGTATTGCTAAAAATAATCTAGCTTGGCATTAAACTTGGCATTGCTTGGTAGACTTTTTTTTTTTTTTTTTTTTTAATATTTAGGTGACCACTTAGGCCCCTGGCACTTTATTAGTTCAAACGGGTGGGC